GGGGCCACAGGAATGGCCAATTTTTTGTGACCATCGGATTTGAGTGATTTTGGAATTTTTTGAAAAACGAACAAATTTCTAATCAATGATGGGAGAATTGTGCGAGAAATATTATTTTCTGTAGCAACATGAGGTGAAAATGAAGGCTTGGTTGGTCGAATTTAGAAATCAATGGTGGCACCATCTGATTACAAAACACACTAAATTTCCAATTTTCGTAAGAAAATTCATTTGGAATTCTACCCATGTATGGCCTGCATAAAGCCAGCCATACATGGGTCAAGTTCCGAAAGAATTTTCTTTTGATAATCTTTTCTAAGAATTTTTGTTCGAATTTCGCACCATTAGTGGATCACAGAAACAGCCGATTTTCATGTGACTATCGAATTCGAGTGATTGAATGTTGGAAATAGTTTGAAAAACTAAGGAATTTCAAATCAATGATGGGAGAATCATGCAAGAAATAGAAAGCTGTGACCTGGAAAGAAAAGAAAACTCTTGGCCATAAAAATTATTTTCTGTAGCAACATAAGGAGAAATTGAAGGCTTGGTTGCTTGATTTTCGAAATCAATGGTGGCACCATCGGATTACCAAACACACAAAATTTCCAATTTTCAAAAGAAAATTAGTTCAGAATTTGACCTGTGTATGGCCCTGCATAAGCCTGGAGCACTCAGAATCTGGTGCAGCTGTGAATGGTAGCCAATCAGCTTCTAACCTCAGCTTGTTCAATTAGGTTTTGCCAATAAAACCTGGAAGCTGATTGGTCTCTATGCAGAGTTGCACCAGATTTTGCACCATGCAGTGTTAGTAAATAACGCCCTATTGCGAATAAATATTTTATAAGTACATTGCTTTCCATAGTTCACTGCAGCACAGTAGTGCTGCCTCCAATTCACCTTTGACTTAATCTGACTGCAATAAAAAAGTCACAAAAAAATAATTGATTGCTGTGGATTATGACACTTTAATTTTGAGCATTTTGGAGTAGATTTACTAAAACTGGAGCGCTCAGAATCTGGTGCAGTTGTGCATGGTAGCCAATCAGCTTCTAACCTCAGCTTGTTCAATTGAGCTTTGGCAATAAAACCTGGAAGCTGATTGGTTTCTCTGCAGTGTTGCACTAGATTTTGTACTCTCCAGTTTTAGTAAATAATCCCCTCAAGTTTTATTGTCTTATGGTGTCTTATGGTGTCTTATGGTGTCTTATGGAAGCCTGGTGGTGTGTTTTTTTTTACTGGAGCAACCTGCAAAAAAGTTTCCATTTGCTTTTGCAGAACATGCTGGTTGGTAGTTGTTTCTACAACAAGAAAAGGGCATTAACCCATGACACCCAGGCATTTACTGTCATTAGAAGCTCAGTAATTCTATTTGGTTGCACAGAATAGACTATTTTTGCATCATGTTACTAATTAAGCCCATTTCATATATCTAGAATAAGTACCATAACTAAGGCTGACCATACACTATACACATTTCTGCCCGATTTCCTTTAGATTTACCTTCCACTATGTAGTGCAAAGCCCTGCCTAATTAGATACAATTGAAAGTGTTGTTTAGGTTTGACCTCATAGTATATGGATTGTGGTAAATCTAAAGCAAAGATATCAGGAAAATTGTATAATGTATGGCCAGCCTAAACGTTTTTTTTTTCAATCTGTAATGTAAAATGTAAGATTCAGAACTACTGATAATGATGAAGTAGAGGATTTTTGTGTATTTGATATGGAATACGTATTGATGCTGTATATTGAATATTATGGATCTGTGCATTGCACTCATGAATATTTATTTTTAAATATAGCAATAGAGCAAACCATATTTTAACAAATTGGGAAAAAATAGATATATTTTATTTATTTCAGGTTCTTATATAGTGTCATCAATTTACGCATCACTTTACATATATATTGTACATTCCCATCAGTCCCTAAACCTCAAGGAGTGTGCAAACTAAGGTCCCCAACTTACATTCATACATACATACTAGGGCCAATTTAGACAGGAGCCAATTAACCTATCAGCATGTCATTGGAATGTGGGAGGAAACTTGAGTACCTGGAGGAAACCCACGCAGGCACATGGAAAACGTGCAAACTCCAGGCAGGTGGTGCCATGGTTGGGATGTGAACCAACACCCTAGTACTGCCAGGCGGAAGTGCTAACCATTTAGCCACTGTGCTGCCTGGTGCCTGTGTGGGTTTCCTTTGTATACTCTGTATTCCTCCCACACACCAAAGACATGCTGGTAGGTTATTTGGCTCCTGTCTAAATTGGCCCTAGTATGTGTATGTATGAATGTAAATTTAGGTTGTAAACCCCTTGAGGATTAGGGACTGATGTGAATATACAGTTGTGTCCAATATATGATGTTTTAAAGTGCTGTGTAATTGACATTGCTATACACAGTTATACCTGAAATAACCACAAATGTCTTTTCTGTGCTCACAATCAGTTTTATTCAACCCCCAAACATTCAATCTTAGTACTATGTACAGCATCCTTTTACATTTGCACAGGTTTTACAACGTGAAGCATAGCTTATTACACAAGTGTCTTGCAGCGATCTACGGGTATCTTCGCCCATTCTTCATGGGCAAAGGCCTCCAGTTAGTCACATTCTTGTGCGCACTGCAATGCTTTCTTTAAGTCCCACCAGAGGTCTCAATGATTTAATGATATATCCAAAATGTTAGCCTTTCCTCTGCAACCATAGTATATGCTTATCATTGTCCTGTTGAAAGGTACGTATAGCCTAGGTGTGTACTATACGTTTCCATAATATCTCCTGGTATGAAGAGAATTCATGGTACCTTGCACATAGCTTCCCTGTACCTGCCCCAAAGCATGATGACCCTCCACCATGCTTCACAGTAGGCAGGTGTTCTTTTCATCATACTTGTTCTTCCTCCTCCAAACAAATCCATGGGCCCAACAGTTCTAATTTTGTTTATCAGTCCACAGAACATATCACAACTTTTGTGGTTTGTCCACATGAGCTTTTGGCATACTGCAGTCGACTCTTCTTATTCTTTGGAGACAGCAAGGGGTCATTTTTACCAAGAGTCATAAAAGCATTCTGGGCTGAAAGCAATTCCCCCCACCCTGACAAATAAGTGCAGACTTCATGAGGACTTGACCACCTGCCACGACCAGGTAGCGTTCAACAGTGCCCTTTGCCTAATTGCGAATGATGCTCCTAAGGTGTCTCATGTATGTTTATCTTTGCAATATTGTGAAGAGAAATCACCTCTTCTCTTGTCTTCCTACCATTCACTTGCCTTCACCATGTTTGTAACCACACCAGTAAATGTCTAGAAGGAATCATTTTTAAAGCTGCCTAATTGGTGCTTATTATGCTTGATTGCTGCTCGGTGACATCCACAGGTGTTTTCAATACCTGATGGAAAGCACCTGTATGAACCTCTGTTCTTCAGAGTGGTAGTCTTTAAGGGGTGTGGCAATGAAGAAACCACATAAGAACCATTTACTACTGTATTACATAAACAATTAATCATTTTAAATTTGGGTAGTTACAACGTCCTATGTAGGATTTGATTCTGAATACAATTCCAAATGTACACTATATCCCTAAACCCCTTTACAGCATTGGGGGTTGAATAATTTTACAACTGTATATGTAAAGTGCGTGTAAATACCTGAAATAAATAAATATTATCTATACTATGAACACAAATACATTTGCAAAGGTTCATACACCTTAAAAGGAAGTTATTAGAATAGATCACCATGTTATTAATTTTTGTACTATGTCATATATGTCTGCAATGTAGTAAAATGATATATATATATCTATATTATATAGAAATATATAAATATATGTGAAAATATGATAAATGTGCAGTGTCTACCTACAGACCACAAAACATCAACGATCAGTAACAATGAAATAAACCTGGATGAGCTTTCGGCGATCAAAATGTGTTTTATTGTCATTTTTACCAAGAGTATAAAAGCATTCAGAAAGCAGATTCCCACATCCCGACAAATAAGTGCAGTCATGAGGACTTGACCACCGACCAGTTAATTGTCTAATTAACTAATGGCATGATAGAATGTAGTGTCTATAAGTTCAAGGTGTAGCAAATCCTCCTAGAGCAAGTATCAGTAAATCACATAAAGTACATGTAATACTCTACAGCGGTAGAATTACAACATAACATTCATTCATAATCATTACAAAATATGTTTCCTTTTTCATCCCATAGGGAATATTAAAAAGGAGAGAGAATACATCGCTTGTCAAATATTGCAGCTTTTAGTCCATCTTGCAGTTGTAAGAGCTTCAGGGTAGACGTGTGAATGCATGTCTTTATTAATTAGTGTCTCTTTGAGTTCATTACACAGTAAAGAAGACAGTTACTATCAGCACAATATAGTGGGAAATGTGCTAATAAGGTCCATACAGCATCACACTGCAGGGACAAACCTGTCCATGTTCCCTGAGTAGGTGGCATGCCTTAGGTAGGCATTTGTACCTGCCAGCTGTCCATTACTATTATAGGCAGTCAATGAGGTGTACTGTCCAGGAGACATCCTGCCATAGAAGTCCATACTATCAGTATTCATTACTGGTGAGGTGGTCATAGGTATTCTGCTAGAGGTGCCAAACAGTTGTGTGTTGCCATGTGTGTATGAACTCTGGTTCATTGGCAGATGGCTATTGGGCACTGGGTAGGAGTATGGCATTGGGTTGGTAGACCTCTGAAGCATAGGGCTCCCACCTGTCTGACTGTTGTAGCCTGTGCTAGCGTAAGTGCAGGAGCTGGAAGTGGTGGAGTTGGCTTCTGGGCTCATTGACCTGCTTGTCTGCTGATTATGTTCTGAGCCACTGGAGTGCCCTATAATTGTGTTGATGCTAAACATTCTGGACTGGCCAGAGCTGAAGGCAGGAGACGAAGAGGGATAATAGACAGAAGAATGGGGGGCTATCTGCTGGGTGTAGGTGGGGCTCATGGTCATGTTGGAATACACAGAGTTAGGATAGGATGGTCTGGAGACTTGTAGTGATGGGGAACATACTGGTGTCATGTATGTAAGCTGGGTAAGTGGTGAGGTCCGTTCTTTTGAACCTCTTCCTTCTTCTTAGGAAGCTTCCACTGTCAAACATGTCTTCAGCATTGGGGTCCAGAGCCCAGTAGTTGCCTTTCCCAGGTCTCCCTGGCTCTCTAGGGATTTTGATGAAGCAGTCATTAAGAGTAAGGTTGTGTCTGATGGAGTTCTGCCACTTCTTCGAGTTATCTCGGTAAAAAGGGAACCTCTCCGTGATAAATTTGTATATACCTCCAAGGGTCAGCTTTCTTTCAGAAGAATGGGCAATAGCCATGGCTATGAGGGCGATGTAGCTGTAGGGTGGTTTGCCTCTCTGAAGGGGTCTTTTCCTTCTCCTTCCTTTTGGAGTCTCATCTGCTTCGGTTTGTCCAGTGGTCACACTTGCCTCGGGAGCTGGCTCTTTCTCCACCTTCACCACTGGTATTGTGAAATTGTTGGCCTGTTGGAGGTTGGTACCAGCCCCAGTGGCTCGGGTAGGGGACTGGTGGCTCTCAGCTGTCATCCTAATACAAGATTGTCCTTTTCAGAAACACCTTCGCTCCCCACACAAACTAGCAGCAGTTGGGATCTTCTCAAATTTCTGGAGATGTATTGTTTTATAATCCCAAGAATCCAGCGAGTGAAAGACCACCAAGCAAGGCACTGTTCTGTGACCAAACCTGAGAAGACCTCACCTACAGGTCTGCAAGACACTTGTATTGTGCAACCAGGGGAGTACAAGGATTTGGCTTCTTCTGTACTTGTCTGTCAAATACACCCGGGGATGTGAAGAATAGTCCTCACACAGCCAGAAACCTGCAACATTAACACCGATGTCAGAAAATTAGTACAATTTAGACATTATATTTTTATACATATATGTAGTGTCTACCGTCTTCTGGGGTCACCTAAGCTACAGTTCTGCTCGACAAGGGTAAATTCATTTTATAATATCCTTTTCTTGTGAATCATTTTTTCCCCCTTACTAATATATATATATATATATATATATATATATATATATATATATATATATATGTGTGTGTGTGTGTGTGTGTGTGTGTGTGTGTGTGTGTCTGCTCTCTTCTGGTCACCTAAGCAAAAGTTCTGTCTGCAGGACAAGGGTAGATTTATTTTCTAATATCCTTTTATTGTGAATCATCATTTCACTTACTAATATATATACATACAAACACACACACATATCTATCTATCTATCTATCTATCTATCTATCTATCTATCTATCTATCTATCTATCTATCTATCTATCTATCTATAATATGCATGTGTAAGGAAAAAAGGATTCAGAATAAAAGTATAATAGAACATAAATCTACCATTGTCAAGCACCCCAGAGGGTAGTGATAATTAGACCCTAACTTTTACATAAGGGAACATAGGGGGTTATTTACTAAAACTGGAGAGTGCAAAATCTGGTGCAGCTCTGTATAGAAACCAATCACTTTTCAGGTTTTATTGTTAAAGCTTAATTGAAAAAGCTGAAGTTAGAAGCTGATTGGCTACCATGTACAGCTGCACCAGATATTGCAATCTCCAGTTTTAGTAAATAATACCAACTGTTTCTATAAATAGGTACATAGAAATAGGTGGTTAACTGGAATAAAGAATACTATAAAATTTTGTAATTTTCCTGTTGTCCTTTCACTTACATAACTGCCTACAAAAAGACTTGCGATCACAAAAATGTATACTGATAATTCAAAACAAGGTAACCTCCTATTTCCTTGATACAAAAAAAGTAAAGTTTTAATAATTATTGATCAGTGATTATAAACATAAAAATTGAACATGTGATATTCATGGCACAATGCATAACCCTTATAAGCAAAATGTAATTCATTCCAAATGCAAGGACAATATGTAAAATTAAATGCTAAAGCACTCCTTTTTAGATATCCAGCTCATATCGCTAAAATGTTTTTACTAACTAGTTATTTTGCAAAAGCAAGCAATGAAAACTGTAACATCTCAGCATAAATAAATACTATGAAGTTGAGGGGCCACTTGTAACCTGTATAGTGTTGCTTACCTGGCAGAGAGGTGAGAGGTGCAGTGTGTGCACACAGAGGACTAGGCTGGGTCTGCTCCTGTCCCCAGGTACAAAGGGTTATATAGTGGAGCAGCTCCTACCTGCACACCCTGCTGTCACAGTAAGAGTCCCATACAAACACACACACACGGGAATTCCCAGCCCTCCTGAGCTCACAAAATAAAAGCACCCAGTCTCCAGAGAGTGCCACCCACCTCGTTCTCTATCACATTGGTAGGAGGACATACTGATTTCTATGTGTTATTTTGTTTTATCATAAACAGGGATTAACTAGTAATAAAATGAACAATTTCACGTCTTCTCAAAAATGCAAAACAATTTACTGCATTAATAAACTTGTTCTGTACTTTAATACCCATTTCATGCTGATAATGAAACATGCACACGTTATTTCTTCCCATTCAAGGCTTGTGATGCTTATATTTGACTTACGTTGGACATACGCTATACAATTTAATTGCACAATCTTCTTTAGATTGATCCAAAATATATAAAACGAGGACAAATGTAACGACCCAGGCTGACCATACTCTTCACAATCTGATTGTACAATCAACTGTATAGTGCACTGCCCTACCTGATTAGACAACTTAGACTGGCCATACATTTTACAATTTTCTTACAATTGTCTGCACAATTTCTACCCAATTTCCTTTAGATTTAACTTGTAGTGGATTCAATTGAAAGTGTTATTTAGATTTGACCTCATATTATATTGTTTTTGGTAAATCTAAAGCAAAATTCTCAAGAAAATTGTATAATGTATAGTCAGCCTTAGAGAGAACTATACATATGAATATAAACTCATGTGTCAACTACACAACAAAGGAAACAACTGCTTCTCGACACCAAAATGGGGTAAATCCCCAAATTAATATACTATTTAAATATTTCAAGAAATGTAAATGACCAAAAATATATATACAGTCCAGTATTCTGTCAATTTGTATAATCTGCTGCAGTTGCCTTCTATCTAATGAAATATTTTCATATAGTTTTGGATAAAAAAAAAGTTTTATGCATGGATACAAATTATTTTAATACGATTTAACAACACAGGTATCCTGCTGCCTTCAACTGGCAGAAAAAGTGGTTCATCGAGTCTACAATATTTTAAAAAATATTATATTTTAGGCTGTAGATTTATGTTTGTCTATGTGATATATATATATATATATATATATATATATATATATAAAAAAAAATATATATATATATATATATATATATATATATATATATATGCCATTTCATATACATATATATTATATATATTTATGTGTGTGTGTGTATATATATATATATATATATATATATATATATATATATATATATATATGTTTGTATGTGCATCAAGTCTACCCTATTTTTAAATAAATTGCAATATTTTTGGGTATAGATCTATGCTTGTATATATACATACAGTATATATATAATATATATATATGTGTGTGTATTATGTATATACTGTATGTGTGTGTATGTATGTGTATATATATATGTGTATATATATATGTGTATATATATATGTGTATATATATAATGTATGGATAGATAGCTAGAAAGAAAGATAGAGCTACCATCATGAAACTTCAAACCACATTCTATATGATAATGAATCTTCTAAACACAAAACAGAAAAAGGCAAATGCTGATTTTAAATAGGACGATTTACATAGAGTAATTTGGCTTCGCTAAGAAAACAGTAAGAGAATAGGGCACAATAATTGCTGGTATAGTGTGCATTGGATCTGTAAGATGAAGGCATTTCTTATGTCAATATTTGGCCAAATTATACAAACCAGTTCAAATAGGTAGGACGATCCCACTACCTACAAGGCTTTCTGGCAAGGAGAATAACGTATATCTAAAATGCAACTTTTAGCTCCTATCACTACACAACACTGCCATATAGTAAACATGATCCGAGGTTATCAAGTAATATTTGTTATTAATTTTATATTTTATATCAGGTATTTTATATCAGGTATTTTAGTCCAGCTGGTTTGATCCTTTCGACAGTATCTTATATATAGCGATGATTTGAAGGACGTTAAATTATATAATTGTATGCACTACTAATTTATATACATTTGCGTTCAAATCTTATTCATGCTAAATAAATAGCAATATCAAAAACAAAACAAAAAAACAAGCAAAAACAAAAACCTTAAACAAAAAAACAAAAAAGAACACACGATATGCTAAATCTAAAATCTAATTACTTTGTATCAGTTTTAGATTTTACATCAAACTGTTTTGTAAACTAAATTGCTACACAATCCTATCCGAATTATATTAGCAATTGTCACTTGCTTTGTTTATAAAATAATTTATTTAGAAGAAATCTGAAATAGTATGTAATAAACTTGAATAAAAAGCGGATCAGTGCCCAGGTGTTTGTTTCACAATGATTGATTAGTATAGCCAGGATGTATAAATTAAATGGCGTTTTTGGATATGACTGTTAGTATTTCAGGTGCTGGTTCCGAGGTTAGAATACACTGAACCTAATAAGCTCTTCATGGAAATGTTATTTCAGGTAGTGTTGGTTGATCTATGGTCTTTGTAATGTGACCGTGACAAGTTTTCCTTGATTACTGTCACATACAGCAAGTTTTGGAAATTGGTATCTCTCTGTAAAATGTGATTTTTGTTCAGTCTCTTTCATCTATTAAATAAAAATAAAGAAGTTATCTAGCTCCCAAAGTGAGAAACAAAACTTGGGAAATGGTATGCCTGGGAGAAGTAATGCAATAGGATTGATTTACTAAAGGAACACAGGCTGTTCTCGTAGCAAAGTGAATGTTAGTAAATAAAGTGAATATGGATCACTATATAAAGCCAAAAGTGTGTGTGAGAGATTTAAAAAAAAATGCAGATTTTTGGCTAAAATATTCTTGGTTGATGAAAGTTAACACAGTTTAATTTTGTTTTACTAAGCTCCTTGAATATTCAGTTTGCAAGGTGAACATTCAATTCCCGTATACAGGAAAAAGTGTGCACAACAACATAAACAATTTATATAGCAGCAGAATTCAGATTTTTATTTCAAAGAAAAATGTATGTGTGTGTGTATGTGTATGTGTATGTATATGTATATATATATATATATATATATATATATATATATATATATATATAAAATATGAATAGAGATATATAAAATAATATTATATATATGGATAAGGTAAGGTAAGGGGAACGCCAGTGCCAAAATAAAAAAAAATGGCATGGGGTGCCCCTCAAAATCCATACCAGGGCACGTAGCACAACAAGCTGTATATATATATAATATAAATATGAATAGAGCTATATAAAACAATATTTTTTATATATATATATATATATTATATAGTATATAAATATGAATAGAGATATATAAAACAATATTTATATATATATATATATATATACACGGCCTGTTTTGCTATGTGCTCGGGCAAGGGTC